GGCCTTGCAGGTGCCCGTCGCACAGACACACAGGCTGCAGAAGATCTTCTCTTGTGAGCTTTGTGGCTTCCAGTGTGTGGAAGAAAACCTGTTGAACGCACATTATCTCGGGAAAACACACCTCCGGCGTCAGAATCTCGTGGCTCGTGGAGGGTTTGTACAGATCTTAACCAAGCAACCTTTTCCTAAGAAGCCATGTCCCATGGGAACAAAAAACGTTCGCACAAAACCTAGAGCCTCTAAACCACTAGCAAAGAATAGCGAGTCAAAAGGATTACGAAACACTGAAAGCAAATGTAAAGATTTCAGAGGAACCATTTCTAAACATGGGGGAGGTAGCAGCGAGCTGCTGGTTGAAATGGTGCCGTCAGGGGACAGTCTGTCAGAAAAAGTAGACTTTGTGGAAGAAAATGTAACCTCGCTGAGCACAGCTCGAAATCCTGACAGCCAGAGTGAAAAGTTAGGAGCTTTAGTCACCTCGGAGAGTCTCCTCGATAAATTGGAATCCACCAGAAACAGCCCCCAGGCAGCCCACGGTGTGGGTGCGGCCTCGAGACCGAGACCTGAGCGGAACTTCCTCGTTTTGGGCAGTGGCTTCCGACGACGCAGTGGCACTTTCAGCCTAAAGGGCCAGGCAAAGAAAAGGTTCGGTCTTCTAGGAATTAATAAAAGGGGAAGTAATGAGACACAGAGGCTGTACATGAGACACTTTAGAAAGCAGGTGAAAACAAGTGAGGCCGAGTCGACGCCTCAGCACGTGGAAACCAGTGGCAGCGTCCGCGGTCCGTGCTTGACGTCCTCAGAAACCCAGGACCCGAAGCAGGACAGGAGGAACTCCCACCTCCCGTGCTCCTTGGACTCTCTGACGGTGAGGCCAGCCCCTGACCATCAGGTGTTGTGTGCTTGTGCAGACTGTGGTCACACAGCCACAGACAGGACAGAGCTGGAAATCCACGGGGAAAAGTGCCAAGCAGGGAAGACCTGTGGCTTGTCCAGCGTGTCCGGGAGGGACTTGGATGGGCACCTGCACCCGCAGACGGCCTCCGGCCTCAGTTGTCAGTGCTGTCCGTCTCTCCCCGTGAGTGAGGAGGACCTGAGGGAGCCCGCGAAGGAGAAGCGCAGTCCAAGTCTCCTCTGCGCTCCCCGTGACCTGTTCTTTGTGTCCGAGAAGGATGTGGACGAGCACCGGACGACCGAGAAGCACATCCACTCGTCGGCTCAACCAAAGACTTCTCAGTCACTTGGTGCTGACTTGGCTTTACAGACTTTCCCTTTAAGTACTTCAGAATCAGAAAACACAAAAGATTCTGTGAGTGAGCCAGGAAGAGCAGCTCAGGAAGAGCCAGTCAAGTCCAGGGTCAGCCCTGGAAATGAAGTAAGGCATTCGAGTAGGCCTCAGTTTCAGTGTAAGAAGTGTTTTTATAAGACCAGGTCTTCCACTGTCCTCACGAGACACATCAAGCTCCGGCATGGGCAGGACTACCACTTTCTTTGTAAAGCCTGTAATCTTTACTCGTTGAGCAAAGAAGGAATGGAGAAACACATTAAGAGGAGCAAGCATCTTGAAAATGCTAAGAAAAATAACATTGGCTTAAGCTTTGAAGAATGTATTGAAAGGGTCTGCATAGGTGCAAATGACAGGAAGGAAGAGGCGAACGTTCCCGGAGGTGGAAGGGCAGCCGGCCACGGAGAGGGCACGCACTTAGCAGAGCGCTCCGGTCTTGAGCAGAGCGTTCTGCCTGCCCCGGAGCTGCCGCAGTCTGGTGTCATCGCCAAAGAGGGTGAATTAGCTTTGGCCACTACTCCAAAGAGAGGGAGACCTAAAGGTAACATCTCACGGACCTGTTCGCACTGTGGCCTTTTGGCCTCGAGTATTACAAACTTGACCGTGCACATTAGACGAAAACACAGTCACCAATACAGTTATTTATGCAAAGTGTGTAAGTATTATACCGTGACTAAGGGAGATATGGAGCGTCACTGTGCCACCAAGAAGCATAAAGGCCGTGTAGAAATAGAAGCAAGTGGAAAACAAAGTTCAGATGTCGTCGTTGGCCCTGAAGGGGGTGACCTTGAGGCCAGTAGGAAGAACGCCGGTTCAGCAGTTTCAGGTGAGCCTGCTAACAGGTTGGCTGAAGCAGCTCCCTCCACGTTGGAAAAGCCAGAACTGGAGCACGGGAATCCAGCTGAAGTCAAAGCTGACAGTGTGTTTCATTCTCTAGATGGGGATGCTAACAGTCACCTGGAGAAAAAGGAACAGGTCTCTCCAGAACCAGAGGACCTTCCCCACCAGGGGGGTGCGTGCGCCCAGGGCGACGTCACGGGTACAGGTGATAACAAGTGTATACACTGTGAGTTTAACGCTCACTCTTCTGCTTCCCTAGAACTGCACGTAAAACGGAAACACACCAAAGAGTTCACGTTTTACTGCATGGCATGTGATTACTACGCCGTGACTCGTCGAGAGATGACGAGGCACGCGGCGACCGAAAAGCACAAGATGAAGAGGCAGTCCTACCTGAGCTCTTCCAGCTTGGAAGCTGCTTCTGCAGAGATGTCCAGAGACACCATCGTACCTGAGGAGCTGCATCAACAAAATGCTGAAGAATTTCAAGTAATTCCACACCAATCCTCTGAAACTCTCAAATCAAGAAGTGGTGCCGATTGTTCTGTTTTAGAGGAGAATGCTAATCTAGATATGTCTAAAGTGCTCTGTGCTCCTGACTCTGTAGAAATTGAGACTGAGGAAGAATCCAACCTCAGTGAAGATCATTCCTTCTGTGAAACTCTCCGCCAGCCCCTTGCCAAGGATAAAGTTCTGAGACCCGAGGAGATGGTGTCCCTTATTTCCTCTAATGATGGCTCCTCAGCCAAATTTCCGAATGAAAATTCAGGAAACTCGGCTTTGAATTATGAGACAGCAAAGAGAATGCACAATGTGTTGAGTGACATTGACATTTCACACGCACACGGCCAGGGTGATGGAGGACGCGGAGGAGAAAAGGCAGAGAATGCCCTTGGTCGGCGTGCATGTCCCGGGGCGCTGGATGGAGAGCGGGCGGCCGAAAGCGCCACAGGGAGAGTGGCCGGAGGACGGCTGCCCTTGCGGAGCGGTGGTCAGGATGGAGCTGGAAGCCTGCAGAGTCCAGGGGATTTGAGACATGTCCCCGGAGGCCCCGTTCTGGAGAATAAGGAGAGTCTGATGAGTTCCCAGCATGAAACTAAAATTATTTTGGAAGAGGATGGTCTGGCTTCTGATAGCACCGTTGAAAATAATGATGTTTATGAAACTATAATCAGCATTGATGAGAAAGGACAGGCCGTGTACAGTTCTAGCCGGTTTGACTCTTCCATAATAAAAATAAAGAACCCTGAAGACGGGGAACTGTTAGACCAGTCTGAAGAAGCGTTGGTAGCAGCAGGAGTGAGGATTAGTGAGCTGCCCTTAAAGGACTGTGCTCAAGGTGGGAAAAAGAAGAAGTCTGAAGGCAGTTCCTTTGCTGAATCCACACGGATTCGCTGTGATGACTGCGGCTTCTTAGCTGATGGTTTGAGCGGACTGAACGTCCACATAGCCATGAAGCATCCGACGAAAGAGAAACACTTCCATTGTTTACTGTGTGGAAAATCATTCTACACGGAGAGCAACCTCCACCAGCATCTGGCCAGTGCTGGTCACATGAGAAATGAGCAGGCCAGCGTGGAGGAGCTTCCCGAGGGCGGGGCCACCTTTAAATGTGTCAAGTGTACAGAGCCCTTTGATTCCGAACAGAATTTATTTCTGCACATTAAAGGGCAGCATGAGGAACTGCTGCGGGAGGTGAACAAGTACATAGTGGAAGACACTGAGCAAATCAACCGCGAGAGAGAGGAGAACCAGGGAAACGTGTGCAAGTACTGTGGGAAGATGTGTCGCAGCAGCAACTCGATGGCCTTTCTAGCACACATTCGCACTCACACAGGTACGTAAACTGCAGCACACCCGTGCGCACCTGTAGGGTGCAGGCCAGCCACACAGGTGGGCCGTTCCCGTCTGAACACGGAGTCCTCCGCTTTATTTGCTGCTTGGCCAACACCCAGTTCACCTTACGCTGCCCTGTGGCTCTGGGTACCTGCCACAGTCTTTGTTGACACTTAACATTTCCAAAGGTAATCAGTTGAGCCTTAGTGATTCCATAGGCGGCATGTTTGGCCCGTTTCTTTTATCAGAAAGCCTGGTCCCTCTGATGCCTTTGTTAAAGTCCCGTCTCTTACAGCTTCTCAGTTGTTTCCAAGTCCTAATTGTTTGGTTTTCCAGGGTTTCTATTTAGTGGCACTTGGGGGTTTAAGTAGACACATTAAATGACTTTTGAGGACTGGAGTATGAAATTTTTGTTACAATTTTAGGGATTTGAATCTGTTCATTGCCAGGCAGTTTATATCCCACAGTGTAACTCCCAGGCAACAAGATTCTGCTTTCCAGGATCAAAATTAGTCAATACTTTTCAAAGTGAATATGTCCTGGTGATTCGGTTTTCATGGAGGTATCACTTGATTTAGTTTCTGTGCTCTTGTCACATGTAGTGTTCCATTTTAATGTTTAATTTTAGATAGAAATTTTTTTAAAAACTTATTTTTTGGTGGAAAATACATAAGCCACTGTTCTAAATTTATGTAAAAATTCACTGCACTGTTTCTATAAACCTGCCATACATTCTTTATTTTAAATAGACAGCTTTTCTAAATCATTGTGCTCTGCTTAGACAAGTTCTGTCTCCATGGTTGAATTTATGAGTGGATTTGAATAATAAATTCACATTTCAATGAACATATTTTCATTAAAACTGTAAGGTTTATTTTACTGTACTTTTAAATAATGGCTTATTATTAAAGCTATACTTTAAATTCATGCAGTTTTTGAAACTTAGTGCATGGTTACAAGGAGGGAGACAGAAGAGTGTGAAACATTGTTGGTAGTTCAGAGTGATTAAAGATAGGTAAAAGTTTTTCGTTGAAGAAAGTAACGGGGCAACCTGTGTAAGGTTAATCTAGGTAAATATGAACATGGTGCTCTTGATCCCTGCTATTTTCATGCAGTAGAACCATTGCTGGGGACTAAGTCCAAATCCTGATTTGTTGACATCATTAATACCTCTGTCGGTACTGTGTTGCAGCTCACTTTCTGAAATGATACAGTTTTAGAAACAGGCTCGCTGTCCACATTGCAGAAAATAGGTACTTTCTTAACGTGCCCTCCTCAGGCAGATAAAACGGAATAAAACTAAGAGGAAGATGCTAATGGAGCTCTTTTTAGAATTCTTTATGCAACTGTCTGGTCAAGACATGTTGCTTATAATTGATGTGTCCATTACTTGAATTCTCTTGTAATTATAGTCAATAAGTCTTGTAAATGTGTTAAAGCTCACTAAAAGCATACAAATTCAAGAACAGAGTAAGGCTAATAATTTAAAATAATCAATGTAGGCATTTCAGCACTTAATTTCCCTTGTGTGTTGATAGCTGATCATTCTTAATCCATTAAGATTTATTTAGTCGTTTACAATGCAAAATAGGTTTGCACTGGTCACTTGTGCCATTTGAAAATGTCCACCAGGTTAAGTGCAGAATGTAGTCCATTCGTCTTCCTTGACTATATGTATTAATTGCATTTAAAATCAAGTTAATGTGGATGTGAAAGTGAGGTAACTATCAATATGTGACAAAGTAACCCTGCTTATATAAGTTACATCATTGATTGTAACATTTAGTAAAAGTTAGCATACTTTTTAACATCTTGTGTTGGGCTTATCAGCAAGTACATTTTTATTGTGCTCTGAGGCACCAGAGCGAGCGCACAGTGCCAGTCTACATTTTAAGTTTGCAAGTCATTGTTTGGAGGAGGCTGCTCTCTAGGTTTTAATTTGAGGGTTTTCCTTGGAGCATCTTAAAATGAATTGCTTTTCTGATACTTTGCTTGTGTCCGTGAAATAGTAATTCAGGGACTGTTATTAATGGTTAACCGGAAAGGGGCTTATTCTTCCAATCCCTATTTTCATATTTTGTGATTTACTCTATGTTATATGTAAGCTTTTCTTCCCATCCTTAACACGATAAAAGCAGCACTAGAAGAAATAAATGAGTTTTGGTTATCAAGACTGGTGGGGAAAAAGGCTCCCAGTTTTCTGAGTGCCTGCTGGTATGAAGCCATCAGCATGAGCAGCTTCTCGGTCCCTTTTACGTTAGTCGGACCAAAAATGCTGTTCGTTTTCCCTCCGGCATTGTTCTGTTAGGGCTTCAATTTCATACACCACGGTCATTGAGCCAGAGGGCTGAAGCCCTTCACTTTCTGTTCAGAGCACTCTGGTCACTAGTGTTTTTTTGGAAGTGTCTGCAGGGGGGAGGGAGGGAGGGAGTGGGGTGACTTCAGGGGAAAACTCTCAAGTTAGGGCTGGTAGTGTTTGTGTCTTAGTACAGGATGATTGAGCAGCCAGATGAGCTTGGGAAGAGATGGTGAGGGAGGGAGCGGGGACTGGAGGCGCGGAGAGAGCAGGAGGACTGTGCAGCTGAGGTGGTTGTTGAGAAGATGCAGTGATGCGTTGTGTTCATCTTACTCGATTCTTTCAGACCTAAAGTCTGGTCACGACCTGTTCAGTGTTGACGTCACGTCCATGTCTCAGAGCAGTTACCGGTGACTGAGGCCGGGAGGCCTGTGCACGTCTGAGGGAAGACTTAAAGTCTTTGGAGTTCTTTTGGTAAAATTGTACAAACCAAGACTAGAGACTCTTCCATTTTCCCTTTCAGAAAACCTCACAGGCCAAACTGAAAAAGGAAAAAAAAAGGACTGAGGATAGTGCTGTCCCAAGGAATGGAACTATTTAAAATAATATTGATGGTTTGTAATAATCTCAACATGCCTGAGAGAGACAAATTTAGAAATATGCACTTCTACAAATTTTGCCTTATAAACACTATTCCTGGATTCATTTTGGGATGTGCCTGGCAAGCTTAAAAAGTGGAAACATCAGTTAGGAAAAAATTTTTTAAAAAAGGGGAACTTTTCTTTTTTTTTTTTAATTACAGAAAATATAACCTCTAGTTCCCAAGTATTTGAATTTTTATGGCACAGAAAGGAGGTGTTCGCACATCTACTCTGCGCGTAAGTTCTGAAGAGCAGTCAGGGTCTCAGTGGTTTCTGCGTGAAAACAGCCAGCAGGGCGGCTCGTTCATGCGCGCTCAGTGCGCCAGCCGTGACCCCCGAGCCCGAAGGAACTGGGCTTTCCTCCGAGGAGCCCTGCACGGCGCGGGGGCCCGGGGAGGGCGGTGTCCAGCCCCGGCCCCACGGCAGGTGTGTGGGCCCGAGGCAGCATGGTGAGCAGCACCGGAGCTCAGTCACCAGGTCGCTGGAATCCTTTCACCACACCTGTGATACAGGTGTTGAGAGAGCTTTATCTTCTTAGTTTATTTAGGGTCCTGATGCGGTGGCTGAGTAATAGTTTCCTCACCACCTGATCCGCGGTGCCGTTTAACATAAAGTGCAGGTAGATCGGTTCTCCTTGCTCTTTTCTTTCGCAAGAGCTTTTATAGAATTCTGTGTCAAGATGAAATGTTTCAAAGTAGTGATAGGCTCAGTTTTATCAGAATCATTTAAATAAACTGTGGTTTCTAATGTGACCGATAGAATGTGATTGCTGTAAGCTGCAGTCCCAACCTGCTTTTGACATTTAAACATATAAAGCTGACTAGATATAACCATTCAGGTGCTAAATATATTTTACATCTACTTCTAGCAGTAGAAATGGAAGTATTAAGAGATCTGGCTTCATTGTCATTGAGCTGTGAAATATTCAACCTTGTCTGCCCGTGCTTAGTACTGTTGACTTTTTTATTTCTGTTAGAAGATTAAAATTGAATGCTTCACTTTTTTTTGTCAGCTTTTGGGAATTAAATTGAAATTTAAGACTCTAAAATTTTTTACTGAGTGCTTCAGTTTCAACAAAGTATTCCTAGAGGATTTTTTTTTCCCAAGGGCATTGCACGAAGTTCCATTGATCAAAATTGATTTATTGCAACTTTTTAATTTGAGCTCCTTTTGTATATTTATTAAAGTTCACACATTTCATATTGTCTGACTGTATTAGAAGAGGTACTTTTACCAAGTGGGTACTAAACATGCTATGAAAAATTTGGAAACATTATACGATTTTAAACTGACTTTCATGATTTTTATTTATTTCTGTGAAGATTTAGTCCTTAGGAGTGGAAAATGGTATATACACGTTACACTTTCAGAGTGTCGCTTCTCATTTGTGTGGGTACTGACTTTATGAGTGACTGTGTTCCAGTTAGAGTCTACCTATTGCTGACAACTTTGTGGACTCTGAAATAATTTTGTTTTCTCATTTTTGAGTATAAGTTAATCTTATTTCTTTATGAAATAAAAAAAATTGTTGGCATTATGCCTTTTATATTGAAATATTTGTTCTTGAAACCAGTAATAACCACAGTGTCAGTACTTCTGGTTTGCCAAATCGTCAAGGATTTTTGGCTATAAAATGATCATAAAAGCAAATAATTTATCCACTATATATTCTTACATTGTGTAGTGTTAAAATAGTAATATAATGAATCATTTGGGATAAGTGTCAGAAAAAAACCCCTGAAATACCATTATTACTGTGAATAAATTCAAAGCTGCAGAAATGTGAGGAAATGGGGATGTGGCCACTGAGAAATTTGATAATAAGTATATTTTTAAAAGTATCAGCAGCTGTCTATGTATTTGTTTTTAAAATGTTCTGTTTTAAATGTTGAGTGACTTTAAAGGCTATTTTTGTCGATTTGTAAGAAAAATATTTGAAATTATTTAGCTTCTCTCATACACTTAGTTCTGGTTATGTATATTACTTTTGACTTTAAATTTTAAAATGTTACTGAAAGTTAGAAACACTCATTGAAACATTAAGGTCTTGGAATAATTATGGAATGCAGGTCTATTCAAGGTAGAAAGGAACTCAAGTATTCCATTTTGGGTACAGAAATTTGTAATTAGATTATAAGTATGATTCAAGATCTAGACCTCTTAAACTATCAGTAATGTGCTGTTCAAATTCAAATCATATTGTATGTTAAATTTACTTAGGATCAAAACCATTCAAGTGCAAGATATGCCATTTTGCAACAGCTCAGCTTGGCGATGCCAGAAACCATGTCAAAAGGCACCTTGGGATGAGGGAATACAAGTGTCACGTCTGTGGGTGAGTAAATTGAAACCATCTCTGCCAGGGTTGGGGGGTGGGAGGGCCTGGAAGTATGTGCAGGATATCCATTGTTTCGGAATCTCAGAACTGATACGAGTAAGAGGGGCTAAAATTATGCACGCGTATCCTCCTTTCCATTGTTATGGTAAATTCCTTAAATGCAGTTATGACATTCTTCTCCCACTTCTAATCCTGTACTGAAGATGAGCAATTTTATGGGCTACAAGGTCAATTTGAACCTGTAATCTGTAAATTGACTAAATTATAGGATGTTCATTCACATTGCCAGAGAGAACTGTAAATTCCATTTAAAGACATAAAAAAATACATAATATAGCTTTAGGAGTGTATATGTATGTTTTTTTTCTTTTGCTATACTGCTTTAATTTTAATCATATTAATGGTTTTTTGGATCCCCTGGACATATTCTATGAGGAAAAAAGCAGAAAAAGATTTGATTTCAGAAAACTGATTATTGCAGGAATGATGCTTAAAAACCCAGTGTATAAAATGTATGTTTTTGTGTAACTTTATTTCAAAACTTGTTTTCCTGTTTTAGTTAACGGCTCTTTCCTCTAAAGAAAAATTCACAATGTTTAATTGTCACTCAAATGTGTTGCATTTAATAGGAAGCACTGAAACGCCTTAATGCAAAACTAATTAATTTAGCAGAAATGTTTAAAAGGTTTTAAAATGCCGTGACATCTATGGTATATCATAGGACATTCAGAGCTGGATTTTAATACTCTACTTCTGATTAAAAATATATTTTAATGTTATTATGCTGGAGAAATTAACTAATAAGTGCATCATATAAAAACACTTTATGTGAAACCTGAGGAACCTGCAGTCCTTATGGTTAATTCACAGACCACCTTGGAGTCAATTAAGTTATGCAACATGCACATGTTCTATTAGGTTTATTTCTTCAGTGGAGGACTCCGGTTGGCATTGCTGCACACATATCTTTTAAGTCAAAAACCGCATCTGTGTTTTGTTGGACAGTACATTTCATCACGGAATGCAGTTGCATTTTTTGACCCTTAAGATAGTTTTACAAATAACTTTGCAAGCAGCTTTATGGACCATGCTCTGTGATTTATTCATTGGCAGAACTGATGGTTCAATGACTTGCAGCTAAAGTAAATGAAGATGAACCTTTGCCCTGAAGCCCCCTGAAGATCAGTGGGAGAATGAGTTTGGTTGCTACTGATTTTAGCTGCAAGGGTCGAGTGCCAAATGGTTCATTTTAATTGTTCCAGGTCTTGGAATTTTAAAAGATAATCTCATTTATTGTTTTTATCATGTGAGTTATAGGCAAGAGGAAGGCCCTGACTCCAATGAAAATTTGCTATAAGATGGCAATAAGCAGTTTCTTCCTCATTTCTGCAAAATAAGACAACAATTTTTGCATACTCTGTTATTAGAAACCTAATTCCATTCATTTTTATTAGTGTTACCAAGACCTGGAAAGAGAAGAAGAAACTTTCAGAGAGTAGTTTCTGGCATATATAGCGTCAGAAACAGTACGTGGCTGATTGGCTGTGCTTGTGTGATTTAAGCAGTGCACACTTTGCTTATGCACACGTTTTGCACTAGTAGTTTATATATTTGATTCCCAAAGTAAAGAATTACAAGTACATATAAGCTATGTTGAGTTTTGTACTGCTGTCATAGAGGTCTGCATGCATGTGTGGGTGTAGAAAAAGCAATTTAGATTCCAAAATTGTTATCTCTTAGAATTATAGTAGTCATTGAATTTTATTTGACTAAGAAATAATAGTTTTCTTAATTTTTTAAGTGAAATTTGATTTAAAAGGGACATAACAATAATTTGTACAGGGTTGATATTTTTAGAGTGAAGCTGAATGTTCTGAAGAATTGCAGTGAACTGAAAAAAATGCCTGTTGATCTATGAGGTTGAGACAGGACAGTAATGAGTTAACAGCCCTTTAATGCTAAAGAAAAGTATCATAGGTTGTTCTGTATTTCATGTGTTTCAGAAGGATAGAGCAGTATGTAAGTTAAAAATTAAAGTGGAAAACATTAAAAAAAAAATCCAGAGTTGGCTATCAGGTTAGTGGCAGCAGAGAGCATTGGTACATTAACATCACTGACAATGTCAATTCATTATCATTGACGGCTAAATAATCTTAGAAATGCTCGGTGGACCTATTAGTTCCTGAACATAAGCAGCTCATGCTGCATTTCTTCATTAGCTTTAATTGCTATAAATTTTACCTTTTAAAAAATCAAGCTTTAAAAGGCGAAGTGATCTTTCTGGAACATTAACTGTATAATTTTGTCACAAACAGAAGGTCCTGCACTGTGTTTTCTTTTCTTCAATAGTTAGTATCTTAGTCTTCGCTTTAGAATTTTATTAATAACCCCATCATTATTTGAGTTGTAAGAAATACACTGTTTTTCAAATAGTTCTGATTCAGTTAATGATCTATGAAAACAGTGAGGCAGACACATTTAACCTAGTAAACCTTTTGAGAAACCATAGTATTTTATGGTGAAATTGATGAAAACATAGAATGCATTCTGTTGAATTGAGCTCAATATTAATGTTTCAGGTTATTTGTGATTGACTTTTTCGTATCTTTCATATAAGAAGATTTTAGATGCTCATCAAATATGTATCATATATTTTTTGCTAAGGCTTAAACTTAAAATTTAGAAAGCAAAAACTGCCTTTTAAATTTTTATTTCAATTGTTTAACCTACATTGATCTTCTTTGGATTTTTAAGCTCAGGTTTAAGATATCTTTCTCCCCCTCACCAGCAAATCTTAGCCACAGTATAGCATGGATGTAAGTTATTTGACAAAAGAAGCTGAATTAGATGTTTAATTCCTATTAGGTAGTAGGATTCAGAATTCAGGATTTAAATTTTGTTTATCCATGGTTTACACACTCACGTCAGGGTATAGATTTCAAAAATGTATTGCTCTGCGCTTCCTGTTTTGAGAACGTTATAGATAACGTCATTTACAGGCCTTTCATTTTACTTTCACTTTTAGGAGGAGCAGTTTTTGAATTACAGTTTCTTTGTGTTTTTCTTATATTTGAGTGTGATCTCAAACGGAATTTTATAAATTGTAGGTGTTTTATATTTAGCACTTGATGGATAACATGAAAATGTGCTGTGGGTCGGATATAGGGCTAAGTAGGGGAGAAAATAAAAAATAACAGAAGGCACCCTAACATGGAAGTTAATAATTTTGGGGGGAACATATGTTTAAAAATAGGTAAATACATTTTTACTAAATCCATGATCTCTATCTTTTTTTTTCCAGTGGTCAACTTAAAAATCTCAGTGGCTTAAGAATGTCATTAGGGGTACCATGTTTTGTTAAATTCATTTAAATTTATTTTAGTAATAATTTCTTCATGTATATACACACACAATAGTATCCAGATAATACTCTCAATTATAAATAGTATTTATGCAGTGCTGTGGTTTAGTGTGCGCCTTAATTAACATTCATTTCATTTGTTGATACCAGTTTCATGAGATTATTTATCTCATGTTTAATGTCCCCATTGTACAGATGGTAAACTTGAGAGTAAAAGTATTTTTCGTGCTGAACCTAACTAATGTGCTAGTCGTGGTAGACTGCTGTTCCCTTTCCTTTAACTCTACCTTTTCTTTATTTCTCTGCTTTTGTAGTATCTGTTGTTTTAGCTACTGAGTTTAATTTGTGCTTACTATTTTCTCTCGAGGCTGTTTTCTGTAGCATGTGATGACTATAACTTAGTTCTTTCCAGCTCCCAGCCACTTTTGTTTTTTGCTTTTGCTCAGACTTAACATTCTTCTAAAAAACTACTTGCACTGTTTTTCACTTTAATATTCTGGTATTCAGTCTCCGTCTCTCTCTTTTGGTATCTTGTTCTCTGTTTCACTTTTTTCGTATTAAAGTGTTATAAATAATTTTGTTTTTCCTTGTTATTCTTTATGTATTGATAATTTGTTGTACTTGAGTGGTTACAAATTGAATCTTAGTATAATACAAATAAGTGCCTAAACAAATGAAGGTTTTATTGTCTTTCCATTAGGATGACAGGGGTAACATTGATCATCCTGGGTTATTGTTTTTGTTTTTCATTACTAATTACTACAAAAAAGAGAAAGTAGAAAATTAGTAAGTAGCCTCTGATTTCAGTAAACCTGGGAAATGCTACCTAACTCCTGCTAGGCCATTGTTTGGAAAGACTCCAGTATGCCTGATTCAGGGGTTGTGCTGTGTTCTGACTGCTCTCCCTGGGTCTAGTCTGGAATCGTATGTGTAGAGATAAACAGTGGTGTAGGACTTACCTAATCCGGACAGAATAAGGGCATTTACTGAATCTGTCACCTCTGGGTTCATGAAAACAGATTCCAGACATTTTCTACTGTGTATTAATGTTCTTGTGAACTGTTTATTCTTAGTTGCTTTAAGAAACCTTAAATAGAAAGTTACTAATGCAGTAAAACTCTCTTTTTTGTGTGTGTGGCATTACCTAGTTTTTGTGCATTAGAAGGGATCTCTATGTAGATGATTATAATGTCACTTTCTGACCTTTGCAGCTTGAATAATTGTAAATCATTGCTTCATAACGTGTCAGAGAATGTCTGTACTAGGCAATTAAATGGCAGAATATAATAGACCAAATTATTGCCTGTCATGTTTTCAACAACACAGTTAGTATTTGAGTTACACTTAATCATTACGTGCATTAGCAACTTCATTGGAATCCAGCTTCAGGCTGAGCATGAAATACATTACATTATTTAAACCTCTAATGGTACAAGTCATTTATTTGTGTTGAAGTGTACAACATGCAGAGTTTCATAAAGCAAGGAACACTTGAGAGCTTAATTTATCCAAATCAAAGTCTAAATGCAGATAAACACAAGTGGCAAAAATTAGTAATTTTTATAGGCTGGAAATATTTAAAAATACATGGTTGTGGGTAATTGTAGGCAGCAGGAATAAATTAAAATCACTATTT